CTTTGAGAATATTCTAAAATTCACTCAACTGTGCTCTTTCAAACAGTAAATTTTATGGTATGTGAACAAGATAATGAGAGAACATTCTAAATAACTTCATGAAGGGGCTGGGGATATAGCCCAGTGGCATAAGCACCTGCCTGGCAAGCACAAGGACCTGAGTTCGATTCCTGGTACTGCAAAAACAAAACAAAACAAAACAAAAAAAACTTCATGACATAACATTGATGATTTAGACTAACTGGAAAAGTTGTTTGAATAACCAGAATTAACAAAGTAGTCCCAAGAAGAAATAGCCTGAATCATGTACAATAATTACATAATTATTTTGAATTTTACTCAATAAATAGAATATTGAAAATTGAATCATAGCCAAGAACCTTCCCACAAAGACAACTCCAGGCTCAAATGCCTTTTTTGAGGGATTCTACCAGATACTTAAAGAAGAAATAATGCCAATTTTGGGCCAGGGATATAGCCCAGTGGCACAAGTGCCTGCCTGACAAGTGCAAGGTCCTGAGTTCAATTCCCGGTACCACAAAAGAAGAAATAATGCCAACTTTATAGGAATGCTTCCAAAAACTAAAAATGAAGGAGCACTTCCCAAGTCCTTCTAAAATGTCAGCATATTTCAAAACCAGACACAGATTTTTCTAGGAAGGAAAACCTCAGGTCAATATTTCTCATGAACAGAACTGCAGAAGTCCTTATCATTTTAGCAAATCAACATATAAAGTGAGAATACACTATAACTAAGCAGGGCTTATCTCCTACCCCGCAGCACTGGTTTAAAATTCTAAAGCAATTTAACATTCAATCACGATAATAGCAGACTTTAAAAGGAAAAGAAATCATGAGGATTCTAAAGGAAGTGTTATGTTTTTTTATAGATCTACACTGGCATAATCCTTTAAATCTAATTTGGGAGCACAGATAGGCTTCATTTTCCATTTCCTTGACTACTTTCTAAATCAGAAAAAAAAAATCTCCTAATTGTTTTAGGTAAGGTTTGTTATTTGAAATAATATTTATTCTTTTGATTGTCTTCTTCTTTTTCTCCTTCTTTTTTTTTTGTCTTTTTGGAGACAAGATCTCACCGTGCAGTTGAGCCTTGAGCTCACTTTGTAGCCCAGGCTGGACTCGAACTCACAATGATCCTCCTGCCTCAGCCTCCTGAGGGCTGGGATTACAGGTGTGCACCACCACGCCTGGCACATTTCTCATTTGAGTAGAATTTCAAGGGGATTGAGCCCTCCTCAGATCCCATGGAGACCTAGTAGAGTATGAGCTGAATCCAGCTGAGCCCAAGGAGCCTCCACCTTGTTCCTGGGGACCTTTAGCCAGTGTCCCCAACTTTCCGTGTGCTTCCCCAATGTCCCACCTAGGAAATGAAGAGACCTCTGCAAAAGTCCCTATGAGCTGAGGAACTGCAGTCTTTTCCTCTCTTAGCTAATGCAATTCTTCCGATCAAGGTAAAACATTAGAATTTTCTAACAGAAACAAGCGTGTGTCCCGCAGTCACTTCCAGGAACGATAATGCACATTAATTGTGAGGCCTGTGATAGACTGATTGTTGGAAGAAGAGATGATGCTGTTGGAGGGCCCTGGCGGCCCAGTACAAGCGGGAGAAGGCAGCGGAGCGCTCCTTTTGGGAGCACGGAGCCCCAGGGGGAGGCTTGGCAAACAGAGGGACCCCTCGGTCCTCTACTGGGAATTAATTAGACAAAAAGCACAGCGGGGGTCAGGAAGTCCTGTGCGCTGGCTCAGCTAGGAGGGGAGAGACGGACCAGGGAACGGACAGGAGCTGTCCAGGCCCCGCTGCCTTCATGGCCCTCTGCGTTCGAAGATGACCTTGACTGCGGTCTGACATCCTCCAGGCTGTCGGAGAAGGGGAAAGCAGTCTGTAAAAATAGGGTTACTAACCTGAAAGGGATCATCTCGATGAATGTCTCGCTGCCTTCTGTGGCCATGTGTATCTTGTTTGCAAACGCAGTGAAGCCGAGAATCTGCGGGGAGGGGAGGGATGCGAGTAAGATTATTTAAACACCGGGCATCGCTTCTGGGAGCAGAGGCACTCACAGTCTCCACATCAAGCTGCAGCCGAGGCAAGGCCAGGTCAGCGGGCAGCAAAGGCGGGGCTCCTCCCAACCCTGCTGCTTCGTCCGAGGTCCTTTGGCGCTACAGCCAAACATCATCATCCTTGCTCTCTGACACAAGGATGGGAACACCGCTTTAGACATTAGATCAAATGAACACGTTTCTAGGTAATGCCTGCGTCAGGGGCTCATTTTTAACATTCTTTAGATCCAGGGACACGGCGTCACGTAGATGAGCCTTGTAAGGCATGTTTGGGGTAGATTGCGTGAAAATCATTTGAGTAGTTCTAAATAATATGGAGAAGCGCCAGGCGTGGGGGCGCACGCCTGTAATCCCAGCACTCAGGAGGCTGAGGCAGGAGGATTGTTGCAAGTTCAAGGCCAGCTTGGGCTATAGAGTGAAACCCTGTCTTAAAAAGACCAAAAAAAAAAAAAAGGAGAAGCATTTAGAAGCACAAGGACAAAAGGTCTTTAGTGAAGCAATTAATTATCTGGGTTTTTTCCTCCCTTACATTTAATTCTAAAAATGGCAATTCTCTCTTTAGCTCTGACTTTCAGCTAGTGGAGAAACACACAAGGTAGAAGCTTATATTTCTCATAATGATTTTGCATCAGAGCAAGTGAAACCAGAGACAAAAGACCTAACTACCCAGGTTTTAGCTGGGTATGGTAGTGCGTACCTATAATCCCAGTACTCAGGAGGCTGAGGCAGGAGGGTTGCCACAAGTTTTAGGCCAGCCTGGGCAATGTAGTGAGTTCAAAGCCAGCATGAACTACATAATGAGACCCTGTCTCGAAAACAAAACAAACCAAAACAAAATAACCAACCAACCAACCTGACAAACAAACAAAACCCCCCAAGGTTTTAACATAACAATTACACAGTTGCTTTAACTCGGTATTCCTCCCCCTGCACAATCTTTTGCCAGCATCTACTCCGAGAGTTCTGCAGGACGCTGACCAGAGCAGCAGTGGTTCAGCTGTGATGCTGTGGTCAGATGAAGGCCCCCCGGGGGAAGCTTCCAGATCCAGATGGAAGGAAAACCCTGGATTAGCAGCTTGCGCTGGGGAAGAATATTTATTTTTATATAGTTGCTTTCTTTGTTTTTTTGAGACAGGGTCTCACTATGCAGTTCAGGTTGACCTTGAGCTCACTATGTAGCCGAGGCTGGCCTCAAACTCACAGCGATCCTCCTG